CCACTTTCCCAGACCGGGTTTGGTTTGGGGTTTTTTTTTTTTTGGGTTTTTTTTTGGGGGGTTTTTTTTTTTTGGGTTTTTTTTGGTTTTCCGCCTCTCTGACAGATGGGTCGTATTGTTTTCGTCCATTTTTTGCCTGCTTTGTCTGAGAGCGCGTTTTCATCTCTGAGAGCAGGATGTATGCAAATTAAGATCCATATGTTAGAAAGAATAAACAACTTAAGCTGGTTGAAATGAACCGCGGTAATAGCAAAAAGCTCTTTAAGCAAGTATTTTGTGGATTCTCTTCCAGTGACTTAAAACGTTAGCGAAAGTAATGAAAATGAAACATGATTTTTAGCAGAGGATTTCTAAATGCATGTTTCAATCTTGATAAAATCCGTGCAGTTTTTCTTTTAACACTTAAGCTGTCTCAAGATGGTAAAAATATACTGAGTCGTCGCTGTTACTGGAATAGTTCACAGTGTTTTATTAAGTGGTATAGAACTCTTCTAGCATCCTCTTGCATGGGTTGTATAAAATAGAGGTTACTGGGGACAAGTCTTGGGCAGACCCCTTGTCTGATCCTTCTGCTGTTTCCCAGCCGAGTATGACCTTGCTTCGGCATTACTTATTTTCCTCCTTGCAGAACCCATTGTTACTGTTGTCGGTTTGGTTTGGGTTTTTTTTTTTTTTTTTTTTACCTGGAGTTTTTTTGGAAATGTGTCTGAGTTTGACTCAGTGACTTTCGGTCGCTGAGTCTTTGTGTGAGTAGAACATATTTTTCTTCTTTCTCTTTGCCGTATTGTTCATTAAAGCTAAACATTACAGTGACCTGACTGTTTTTCATTCTAGCTAATGTTTTAATACAATACATTTTATCAGTTGCTGTTGTGAAAACTTGTGGCCAAGGAAGGAAGTTTTAGAGACATAGCAATTAAAACAATTCAGAATTTATATGCCAGGGAAATGCTGATGATGAGTTGCTGGGAGATTGAGCTGTGGTCTCTGCTGTTTCCATCTCACAGTAAGCATGTGTTGGGGGCTGGCTATAACTCACCCTGACAGCCCTCCACTGCAACCTTCTGTACACTGAGTGGGATTCGATTTAATGCTTTGCTGTCCTCTGCCCATATGCAGTCATGTCTTGCTCGAGGTGTTGAGGAGGTAGAGACAGCATGCACCATCGTATGGGTGTACTTTTTTTACATTTCAAAGTAGAATTTGGTCCTTAGTGTGAAGGTACGTCTGAAGTCTGAAGGAAGATGAAGCAAGAGTCATTTTGCAATTGAAGGTTGATCAGGGTTCTCCATAACCTCGGTAAGAGGAAAGAGAAATCACAAAAGCAGCCAAGAATAGAAGCTAGTTCAAGAGTAAAAATGCTCTTAAGAGTCCTTTTTTATGTGTGTATTTACATGCCATTTTGGAAAGTGCTTTCTGGAAGCCAGTGGGGTCTAAACTTACCTGCTTACTAAAGGCAGGTCTTTTGTTCTCAAGGAGATTTAATATCTCAGAGTTCAGCTCTGTGTTCTTTTAGAAATTAATTGCTTCACACTTCCCTGTAGCATTGTTCTTGCAGGTAAACTGGCTGGCTTTGGGAAGAGGGAGTTCAGGGAACACGATACTACTCAAAATGTGGCAGACCCTCACAAGGAATACTCAACTGCATTATAATTCAGAACTGTACCCACTGAACTGGTGGCTACCTTTGTCCTTTGTGAAACAGTGTTTGGTCTTACTATTAAAATTAACATCTCAAGACTTAATCCAAACAACACGCAAGGAGAATCTCAGCAAAATTTGCATGATAGTTTAGCACATGGGGATGAACTGATTTGGACGTAAAGCATTGCAAACTGAAGAGTGGGTGTTCAGTCTTAGGATGAATATCCTTGAGGCAAAACCTGAATGCGTTAGCCAAAAAGGCCATGCCTTATCCCCAGATCCTCTGCGACTTGTACACTCATGAGGTCCATAAGAATATATGTTTAACGCAAGACTGAGTTTTTGACAAAAGTAAGCTGGGAGTTTAGGTCCACTTGCCATTTATACGAAGTCAGAGAAGATCCACCTGGCCCGGTGTCCCTTTTCTGAGAGCAGATAGAGCTGAATGCTTGGGCAATAGTTCGAGTGCAGTCAAGTGTGTAGTAGCAGTATTTCCCTGGGTTCTCATGGCTTGCAGATCAGAGGTTTCCTGAACTAGGTGTATTATCTTTGCGTTTACTAGCTCTCGATGGATTTTTTTTTTCTTTTGTAAAATCACTCGCTTGATCTCTGAACCTAAGTGGGCTTTTGGTGTTCATGCTGTCACCTTGCTATTTGCCTCCCTTTTCAGACCATTCAGGAGTAAGGTGAACAGCACAGAGCCTGATAAAGATTCCCGGAGACTCAGAGCTAAGCTTTCTTCATTGATTGACCACTGACTCCTACTCTTTTGTTTCCTGTTGCTTTATCTGCTTTCTCCTTTATCTGAGCACAGGTCATCTACCTTCTTGTTGGATTCATTTATTTAAGAACTTTAATAAAAGACCTTGTTGAGACATGACATCCATGTAAGATGACAAAGCAGCCCTCTTTTTTTTAGGTATTACCTCCAGAAGACATCATGTGCAATTTATATTACCGAATCTTGTATCGGAGACTTCTGTACAAGATCTGTCTTTTTTTCTCTAACAAACACATTGGAACAGTAACAAGCCGAGATGGTGGTGGTTCAGATTGCCTGCCCACTGTGCTGGCTTTGAACCTAGAAGCTAGCAATTTTTCTTTAACGCCATTGGTACTGAGGACAGCAAAACCACCAGCCCTTACTTAGACTGTACCATGTGGAAAATTTAGTTCTCTTGTATGAAGGCAATTTACAAGCACAGCTTTAATTCCAAGGACTGGCAGAATCCTCCTCATCAAGCCCAGGACCAAGCTGTAGCAGGCATCTTCTTGAAATCAAAGCCTATGTTAATTAGGAAATGGAAAGACTGAGGGTCCCCAAATCCATCCAAATGTAGTCACTTTTTCACCAACTTTCAAATACAAGAAAAGAATTTATGGTGTAGTAAAATACGTTTGGAAGAATTACTGCCTTTTTCAACCAATTCTTTATCTATCTTGTTCATCCCCAAAGCAGCATTTTAAGTATGATGGAAAAGTGTCACAGCACATGTATAGAAGGCCAAGCAATTTTGGTTGTTTTCAGTAACGATTTGAATATCAATAGCTTCCTACAAGGAGATGTTCTTATATATTTCATTAGTTCCTGAAATAATTATCAAGAGGCCTGCCGAAATATCCCATTGGTCATGATTCAGATATTTGAAAATGGCTCCCTTGTGAATTATGTGCTTTAGTGCAGATGTTTGTGTTTAGTTTGGCCTTTGGATACTTCATCTCTTGGAAAAGAAGATTTTGGAATGAATATTTGATAGAGAATGTAAGTGGTAGTATACAATACAGAAGGACTAGCGCTGTGTAAGCGTTGCTGGAATGAGGGCAAAATAATTCTGTCTAGGAAATGGTGTGACTGGAGACGCATGCTGTAGTGTGTCTTGAGTCAAACTGCAGGAACTTTCGTAACTGCGTTTCCCGATTGGACTTTCTTGTCCCTCTTAGGCTTATATTCTCATTTACAGTTCATTTAGACTTTGCTGATTTCAGAGGGAGAAACAGATGCACTCTGAAGACTTAATTCTCTTCAGAGAGGATAGGGATGAAGCCATCCAAATTCTTACCAGAAAGAAGTACGTGGAATTACATAATAGTCGGACTGGGTTAACCACTTGTTTGTATGTTTGTTTTTTGTTACGTATCTGTTCCAAAGAAAAATAAATGGCAGAGACCTTGGCTTTACAAGATACTTTACCATCTGCCTCTCATCTAGTATCTACAGCCTACATTTTTTTGTATAAGAATCATATTTCTTCCTGCTTTGCATGTTTAGAATAATAACAAATGTTGTTTATAATTGCAGTTCATCTGCTTCAGGAGAGCAAAGATGGAACATGCACTGGTCAGGTTCCTGGGTAAATGAGAAAGAGACCTCTGCTCTACCTCTTGCTTATCTTCAGAGGGTAGGCATTTACGACAGACAAAAGAAGAAAGGAATTTCAAATGAAGTGATGCAGCTAGTTAATAGGAAATTTGAAATAAAAAAAAAAAAAGAAGGTTTTAATGCTCTTGTTAAGCAATGGAGTTAAATTCTGCCGTGTTGCATCTGTTTTGTGCTTGTGGAAGCAGTCAAGTGGATGAGGCTGCACCAACAGAGCATGGCTAGTATAATTTTTTTAAACATGATCCAGGTATCACCTCAAATGCTTTGGAAATTAAACACTCTAATAGCACCAGCATGACAGGGTTAGAATTGGTAAATGAGCACACAATTAAAAGGAAGGGGATTGAAGGTGAATATCTGCTATTAGAGGAAGGGCAGTTATTTTTTTTCTGGGTCCAAAAGCCACAAACTTCAGCCAGCTTATTGAATATGAATATTGAGGCCTGAGTGTCTAAAATAACTATTTGAGGCTCATAAAGCTGAAGCCTGTGGGTGGCTGGCTGGGACTGAGTTCCTCTTCCTTCTCCGCTTGGAGAAGTGAAGGTCATATGCTGCCACCAGAGAAATGTGGGTCAAAAAGACAAGGAAAAATGCAGAGGGGAATGCATCTGTGCACAGCTGGCCATGAAAAGTTACTCTCTTGGATTTTGGGTTTGACCCTGAGTCTTGGAGAATTACTTGAAGGAGAATTTGCCCTAGAGGAGCAAATTTACAGTAAATAAATACTAAGCATGCAGATGCTGGATCAGAGACCTTTCTGAAAACCAGTTGGGTCAGGTCTCTTTTGTAATCAGAATTGCGAGTTCCTGACAAGAAGTTTGCAAAAGTTTCTAATTGTGGTGATTGTAAAACAACACCATTGGCAGTAGTCCAATCTGGTGGGGCTCTGGGACCCGACGGGATTTCTCCTGCCCCAGACCAACTGGTACGTGGCAGCCTCTGTTCTGTATTTACAGGTCCAGTTAGTAACAAGGCAGGGCGCGTATTCCCAGTAGGCACACACACACGTCTATACATGCAATACACTCAGCCAGCCATACGGACCAGCACAAGGACAAAAGTGCCTTTATGGCAGACAGCACTTGTGCAAACCTGACCACCACCAGTGGCTCGCTGCCGTTCCTCCCTGCTTGTGATTTCTATGTGTTGCACAGGCACACAAGGCAGATCTCTCCACCAGTGGGTTTTGGATACTCTGTCAATCCAATCACTGGCCAGAGTCAGATCTCCTCCAGTTGTTGGTACCTGGACCTACAAGTTTCCAACCTCTCACTTCAGCGGCTGATGCGTAAACTTCTGCTCACCGGTGAGTCCATCGTGATACTTGCTAGCATCCATGCACACGGGCTCACAGTAGACAGTCCATTCACACGGTAATAGTTGGAAATAGTGTTTAGCAGGAGTACAGGTTGGACTGTGGTGATCAGGGGCAGGGCTCGGTCAGACAGGTGTACTGACCGGCTGCCTGTCCACATGCGTCTGGCCCCCTTCATCCCCTTTTCCATCTATTTTCTCAGTCTTGTTCCTCCTCAGTCCTTGATCAGTTCCCCATAGTGTCTTGTGATAAATATTTCTTGCTCTTCATAATTTCCATAGCCACCCCATGGCTGGTTTTACACCATCCCAAACTTCTGTTTCCCCTGCATGACATGGTAAATCCTATTCCCCAGCAGGCCATCACCCCCTTTTGCTTGCACGGTGTTTCAGAGAGGGAGCTTCCCTGTTGGTGCCTCTTGGTGGGCTTTCCTCCAGGAACTGTGGTCTGTCCTTTTCCTTTGAGGGTATTCAGAGTGGCCGATTCAGGGGGCTGCATTTGCACTGGGTAGGTTAGTAGGGTTGGTCCTCTGAGCCTCGACTCAGTCTCTGTGCTCAGTGCGACTGGCCTTCTGTCACATAACTGAGCAAAGACCGTTTTTAGACTTTCTTGGCTGATTTGATTTTTCTAAGCTTTCTATTTAAAAATAAATAATGTGGCTGGCCAGTTGCTTGTTTAAGCCCATGGAAAGTTTCCCCATGATGTAAATCATCATTGAAGTGGAACTCACACAGGCACGTTTTTACCCTCACATGTGAAAGTTTCAGGAAAGTTGTGAGTTAACTGCAAACAGGGAATCGAGTTGCTGCCACTTGTGGTTATAATAAATCAGCTTCTGCTGTCTTAAAGGCTGAGTTATGACTATGTGTGCGAACTGCTATATCAAAAACAGTCAGAGAAACTCGACAGACGTTCCTGAAGAAGGCTGACTGTTTCATTTCTTGTCTGGGAGAAAGACGATGTAAACCTCAAGGAGAAATACATTACCTGAAGTAGTCACAAGTCCATGAACCCTGCGATTACTGTAAGACTAGGTGTTCATAGAGAATGATTGTCCAGTAATAGTATCACATCTGGGGACGGCAAAACAAGATGAATCTTCAGAATATGCATAATAACATAGTTACTCCTTAGCCTTCAAACAGAAGTATTAGCATCAGTCTCCTGAAACCCATATACTCTATATCCACCATGTACACATTATAAAACCAAACAAGTAACTAAAAATAAAGCAGGCCTTCCCATACAGGGCATGGCTGCCGCATTTTAACACTCAACATTTGATTCTTAGCGGCAGGTAGTAAAAATAAACTCCCCAAGCAAAGTGACTTGGGACAAAAAGTGACATGTAATCTGCAATAAATAAAACTAACTTAGAAGCCAACCTACAACTCATCTCAGATGTTCATACTATACTGCTGTAAAAGTACAGAGCCAAATGAACCTTGAAATCACTGCAATCATGTAATGGGTAGACTTACCTAAAGAACAGGTATTGACAATCTGCCGGGAGTGTTGGCTTAGGATAGAACATTTTGGACCAAATTAATCCCTCATACAAATTAATTGAAATGAATAAAGCTTGCTGAACGAAGAGTATGGCCTAATACCCCAAAGACACTTTTTCACTCATTAGTATGGTTTACTGCTAAAACTGCATTCTAAAAAATACAGAAACTAATGCAGTTCATGTGAAATACAGTGTTGGATTTCAACCAATATGTTGTTCGGGCCAAACTAGGCTTTTGACTACCAGGTTAATAAAAGAAAGGCCATCTTTTTCCCTCTCCCTCCCATTGGCCACAGTTTTAACCTAAGAAAACTTGTCCTGACTTGGATTCCAAGTCCTGTCCAGGTATTCAGCGTTACAAATGGGAGAAGGCAAGGCATGTTTGTATGGTGGTGGAAATGTGTCAGCAGACATCATCCAATGTAGGCGTGTCTCAAAGCATCAGAGGCCCCCCTTTCAGAGTGCAAAGAGTAAAGTATTGCTTCTTACCAAGTTTTCTAAATTTTCTTTTTAGTAATCTATGAGTATATTATACGTGCCTTGTCTTTATGTATACAGATACATACGTTCACTATAATTGTATACATAGATACATCTAATATATAGATACGTGTATGTGCATACTCACTATCTCTGTTTTCGTATATGTATGTGTATGGAGGCACATACGCCCATATACTCACATATATTTAATTATGTACAAAAACTGCTGTGTATCACTGTACCAAATATTTTGAAGATAACATTTTTATAGAGGTGTATATTCCTCCTCCTTTGTAGTGACAAGATGATATAATTATAGAAAAGCATTAACAACCTGATTTTTTTAAAAATGAAAAGCAGACGAATATCAATTGCTTAAAAGCAGTTCCGGTCTGTGGCTACTGGATTAACGGCCTAACAAGATAAAATAGCAGGAAAAGCAACTGTAAAATGGAAGCTGTTTTATCTACCTGAATGCTAGTGGTGTAAAGAACAGTATAAAGAAAAGACAGCGTTTTGCTGATGCTTTTCAATAGGCACTTACTGCATTACATAAGTTGAGTAATTTTCTGCTCTCAGTCATTTCTCTCGTAGTCAGATTGCTTGTGCTTTGTTCTTGTTTTCTTTAGAAGCTGTAAGAAAGAATAGGTTGGAGCTCTCATGTGTATCAATGGTGGGTCCAATTCATACACTTTTGGGCAATTTTGCCTGTTTGTAACTGCTGACATCATTGTCTGAATTTCCTTCTTTATTAGCTGAGCATTACTGCAACTCACTTTCCTGCTGGGTGTAAAGGAGAGTATGTTTATGGGCCAGATAAATGTGTGCTACTTCTGTTTGTTTGAATAGCAGTTTGCTGGTGACAGGAGTGTGTGTCTTAGAATCATAGAATCATAGAATGTTTAGGGTTGGAAGGGACCACTAGTGGTCATCTAGTCCAACCCCCCTGCAGTGAGTACAAGAAAAGTGTGCACAAGGTGCACAAGAAAAATACCAAGGTTTATTTAAACTAATGGGAGCACGTGCGTCGATTTGCAAGAGCCAGTGAGGGAATGGTGCAAAGAACAGGAATATAGTAGAGATGTTCTCCTTGCTGATTTTCTTGGGGGCTAGAAGCGTCCCTTGACTGGACCAGGGAAGGCAAATGACAGCACCCAAGATCTGCAAATGAAAGGCACTTCCCAGAAACAGCTCTGTGCATATGTTGGGCATCCACCTTCCTTTGTGGCTGCATTTGCCTTCCCTGAGCACCTCCGATGCGGGGGAGGGAAAGGGCTGGTGAGGATAGTGTCTGGTTGTGGTCAGCCTCGAGAGGATCCGCACTCTGTACCCCTTACAGCTGACATCTCCCAGAGGTGTGAGCTCTGTGGTCTCTTCTTCACAGTGATGAGTGGAGTGGGAGAAGGGGTGACAAGAGCTGCGTTGTTGTCATTGGTTTTTTTGCTAGCCACACTGGCACTAACACACCTCAGGATTTGTGTGAATTGCCCGGTGCGTTTTAAAAGATGGTCTCTCCCAGCTCCTCTTCCCCAGCTCCCCTCATTATCCAGCCTTGTAGCCGTTCTGTGCAAGTGCTGAAACTAAAACACATAGGAAGAAGTGGCTCCAAATGCTTCCAGGGTGTTTACAACTGTACACAAGGAAAAGGGATTGAAGATACAGTCAAGATTAACCTCTCCTTTTGTATCACAGTATCATTATCTAATTAGATCAGAAGCAAAGCCTGTGGCTTAGTCAGTATTAGAGCGTAGGCACCCATTTCAGGAGGAAGCCTTTGAGAAGAGCAATCTTCAGCCGTCCACCTACACCATTTTCTTTGCAGCGTTGCTAGATGGAAAAAGTGACAGATGTAAACCTCCCCAAAGGCAGTTGCATGTTCTCCTTACGCGCGTTGCCTTCTGCCTCCCTGAACCACTGACTCTTGGACGGTCCCCATGGGTGACCCTTGTCTTTGCTGTCCTTGGGCTGCCAGGGCAGAGACAGAATTCAGTGGGTCAGACCCTGAGGAGAGGATCTGCTGGTTTCGAATCACCCGTGCTATTTAATACAGGCACAGGTAGCCTGTTTCAGGGAATTGGAGCTGTGATTCCAGTAAGCTGGATGGAGAGGGAATGGGAGGGAGTGCGGAATTCTTCCCAGTTGCCAGAAAAGGTCCTTTACAAGGACTCCTGACACCCGGTAGTTGCTCTGCCTTACTGCAGAAGACGGTCAAGGTCGTTTAAATACATGGAGATACTGTGGCTGGGGCTGTTGCTACACAACTCATAGGTCCCATTCTTGGGGTTTATATAGGTTGGGACTCATGCCTGATTCTCTGATTTTTGGTTCTGCATCCATTCTGAAATGACTTTCTGGTTTAGGTTCAGCAAACATGACTCAAGAAGAGCGTGTCTTGTGCAGTTTCCC